GATAGCAGTGTTCCAATATCTCAGGGGTTGCCATAAAGAAGAGGGAGTCAAGCTATTTTCCAAAGCGCCTGGAGGCAGGACAAGAAGCAACGGGTGGAAACTAATCAAGGAGAGAAGCAATCTAGAACTAAGGAGAAACTTCCTGACAGTGAGAACAATTAACCAGTGGAACAACCTGCCTCCAGAAGCGGTGAATGCTGCAACACTGGAAGTTTTTAAGAAGAGATTGGACAGCCATTTGTCCGAAATGGTATAGGGTTTCCTGCCTGAGCAGGGGGTTGGGCTAGATGACCTTCAAGGTCCCTTCCAACTTTACTATTATTATTATTATTATTATTATTATTATTATTATTATTATTATTATTATTATTATTATTGTGCCATATCCGTTATCGGACGTTCGCGATCACGTCGGCGATCCTGTTTTTATCAGCAGCCCCACGAAAAAGTGCTGCTGAGTTTTGTCCAAACCAGATTGCTAAGTTGGCCAATGGGTGGGATCAGCAGGGTGGTGGAACAAGTGGAGGGGAGGGAGGGAGAGAGGGGAGGGCAAGCCCAGAGAGTGGGCAAACGATTAGAACGAAAGATCCTGACACACCATAGCAGGGATTGTGAGCTGTAAGACCCCAAGCTATAGGGGAGAAATGGACAGGGGGAGCTGGACTTTTGTGGCTCTTTCGTGGGTAGCACTACATAAAAAAAAAAAACTCTTTTCAGAAGCAAATTCACGGGGCTTCTCTATATTATCTAAGCTTACTCTAAATTAATATCATCTTAACACCATGCAGTTGGAAAGGACCTTAGCAGTTTTCTAATAGTCCAACCCACTGCTCAAGGCAGAAGTCTTATACCATCCCACTTAAATGGTTGTCCACAGTGCTTTTTTTCTAAAAAAAAAAAAAAAAAAGGTGCCGGAACTCACACACGTCATACAACCCGCCTTGCCTACCCTACAAGGTTCCATCCAAAAAAGGTGCCAGAACTCCGTTCTGGGCGTTCTATGAGAAAAAAAGCCCTGATTGTCCAGCTTATTCTTGAAAACCTCTAGAGATGGTGCACCCACAACTCCAGGTGCAAAGTATTCTATTGCTCCCACTGACAGGAAATTTCTCCTTACTTTTAGCCTAGGACTGCATTGACTTTTTTGGGGGCAGCTGCAGCACACTCCTGGCTCACACTTGCCCATTTGGACGCCTAGATTCCTTTCACACTTACTGCTGTTGAGCCAGATACTACTGTACCTATTCTATACCTGTGCATTTGATTTCTCCTAAGTGCAGGACCTCACTTTTCTCACCACTTAACTGCTTCTTCTTAGCCAAATGTTCAAGTTTGTCAAGATCCTTCTGGATCTTGAATCTATCTTCTAAAGTATTGGCTCTTCTCCCCCAACTTGGTGCCATCTGCAAATTTCATGAGCTCTCCTTCTATCCCCTCATCTAAACCATTTATGAAGATATTGAAAAGTACTGGGCCCAAGACCAAATCTTGAGAGATCCCACTGCATTCTACCCTCCATGTAGATCAGCGGTCCCCAATCTTTGCGGCTTGGCGGCCCAGCGGCTGGGGGTTCATGTAAGCAGCAGGGCAGTGCTTGATATTGTTGCAAATGGACCACAGCCTGGTAATGGGCCACAGCCCGGGGACCACTGATGTAAATATAGTGAGGATTATTCACTGAATGCAGTTAGTCAGCCAATTGCGAATCTACATGGGGAGGTGATACTG